CAGTTTTTTAAAGTGTAACTTGAAGTGAATGATTATTATATTACTAACTAAATCCCCTCATTTAACTCTAACTCTACAGGGAATATCTGAGAAGATGACTGGCATGAAAATGATAAAAATTCACCATTTATTGACAATTTAAATAATTTATTTAGTAAAACGCCCATGCGTTGTAAGGTCACTTGCTCAGTGTTTAATCCGAACATGATCCCAGTTTTAGCTATTGGAATATGATGATGTTTTTTTTTGGTCTTTTTGAATCAGGGTCTTCCTGTAGCCCCAGCTGTCCTGGAACTCACTATGTAGACCAGGCTGGCCTTGAACTCACAGAGATCTGCCTGCCTCTGCCTCCCAAGTTCTGGGACTATAGGTGTGTGCCACCACTCCCGGCTTGATGATTTTTTTTAAAGCTAGAAAAATAAGAAAAGCAAATTATTTTCTTGAATGAATTACATTTAATTTTTTATTTATTTAATGTGTTTGAGTGTTATTAAGTATTTTTTTTTAAATTTATGCATTTTATGTGTATGAGTACATGTATGTAAGTTTACCTGTATTGTGCAATGCCAGTGGAATTCAAAAGAGTGCGGTGGATTCCCCTGGAACTGGAGTTATGGACAGTTGTTAGCTGCCATGTGGGTGCTGGGACTCGAACTTGGGTCTTCTGTAAGGGCAGTCAGTGCTCTTAACTGCTGAGCCATCTCATCAGCCCCAATTAATTTTTTCTTATGTGACACCTCTATCAATTTGGCACATGATTAATTCTGGGCTGCTTTACAAAAGAACACATGATTGTAGCTTTTATTCTTCGAATGCAGTTAACTATGCCATATCAAGATTATAGTTTCTAAGATGATCGATGTCTTGTCATAAGGAAAGAGAAGTTTCCCAAGATGTAGAGAATTGTGGTCTGACTTTAGTGTTTTTGTTTCTTTCCTTTTTAAAAAGTATGGAATTTTTAGTTGTTGTTAATTCTGAGACAGGGTCTTTCTTTGTAGTCCTGACTGGCCCCTAACTCATGGCAGTCTTCCTGCTTTGGTCTTCTGAGTGTTGGGATTAGAGGTGTGCATCGTCACACTGGCTGAGGATGGAACTATTAAAAAACAGGATTAGGTAATTTGTATATTATTTCTCTTACTGTTAGTGGGTCTCTGGCCAGTTATTTTTTTAACTGTGACAGGCCATCTTGGTTATATAACAGACATATAATTCGTGGTAGAAGGCTCAGCTCAGTTGTTTTGTGTTAGTCATGATCTCCTGGTACTGAATGCTTTGCTGTGGTCAGTTAAGGTGAAGTTTGAGTCTCAGTGTTGTTTCTTGTACTTTTATGCCATGCTCTTATTCTGTCCTGTTTTTCCTGCAGTCCAAAGGCTGAGTCCACCCAGATCCTCAGTGTGGATGAAAAGAACAAGCTGGGAGCCAAGATTATCAAGGCAGAGATGATGGGGAATATGGTAAGACTCAATGTGCTGGTCATTAGAGAACAGTGAAATTGAACTTCACAGACATGTTTAGAAGGTTCAGGCTGTTCAGATGTGGCATGCTTTGAAGACAATTACTGTTTCTTAGTTACTTAAAGAAATTCTTGAACATCTCTAGAAACAGTACTGTCTTCTGGTTTCTTACTGGAGAAGTATCTGTTATCTATCTTTTATTAGATTTCTGAAATTTATGGAAAATTGCTATTTTTAAGCACTTTCCTACTTGCTTTATTCTTGTATTTGTAAATTACCTAACATATTTGGAGGAGTTAGAGATATCACTGTTTTCTTTCCCATTTTAACTTACTGTTAAAAATGCTTATTAATTTCCTTTAAAAAATACTAAAAAAAACTCTGTGTGTATATGTGTGTGTGTGTGTGTGTGTGTGTGTGAATGTGTATTGGGATGTGCCTGTGTACATGGGTGCCTTTGGAGGCCAGAAGACGTTGGATCTCTTGGGGTTGGAATTACAGATGGTTGTGAGCTGCCTGAAATGGGTGCTGGGAACAGAACTCCAGTTCTCTGCAAGAGCAGCAAATACTCTTAACCTCTGAGCCATCTCTCTAGCCCAATGATGCATATTATTTTCTTAAAATGAAACTGAGGAACCTAAGAAATTGGGTTGGTGAGCTGGCTGAGTAGGTAAAGGAGCTTGCTGCCAACCTGAATGAGATTAGTGGAACCCCATAGTGGAAGGAGAGAACCCAGTCCCACAGGCTGTTCTCTGACCTTCATATATGTGCTGTGATGTGCAGACATGTGTATATACACACATACACACAAAATAAATTGAAAATGTAAAAAAAATACAAATAAAGAACCTAAAAAATTGACTTCTTGTAAAAGATATTTATTTAAGGCTGAACCTACTGTTCATGATTTGTGTAGGTTTATTCATTTAATTCCCATAGTCGTGTCTAACACCCAACGTACCTGAAATTAAATGGAAATAGAGATGATTTGGTCAGAGATGCTTATTTATTTATTTATTCATTAAATTGTCATATGCCCATTTTACTAACTTATGTTAAATTGGATATGGCAGAATAGCAAAGCCAGAAAACTTCTCATACCTCAGTGTACTAATTCACGTATGGTCATATGTATGACTTGTTTCAAATTCATGTGTAAATGATGTTTAAATATTCTTAGGTTTTAGTTTCCTATCAGTGCAGTAGTTTTCAGTGGTAGGCAGCCAAATACAGTCTTTTAATTTTCATTCCATTGTGTGTTGAGAGTCATATATATATATTTTTTAATCTTTTTGAGTCAGGGTCTCCCTGTAGCCCCAGATGGCCTTGAACTCACAGAGATCCACCTGCCTCTGCCTCCCAAGTGCTGGGATTAAAGGCCACCATGCCAGGCAAAATCATATCTTGCATATTCTGATTTCTTTCTTCGAATATGGCCCTTGGTAACAATGAGCTTCAATTCAGCCTAGAAGTTTGTAAGAGAGCTAGATTAACTAACAGAAGCAGTTACTATAGAAAAAAGTAAATTTTGATACTTGAAAGCGTGGATGAATTAGCTAAAATAGTGGAAAGAGTGGTTACTTCTGTTAAGGAAAGTGTTCTTTTTTCCACAGATGCATTGCAGCCTAGTCTGCTGTTCCTTGTCACATAAATCTCTTTCTTTAATTTAA